GAATGGGAATGCGCAGTGGGAAAGGGGTTTGCTGCCAGAACCCAACAGAAAAAGCTGCCTCAGTGCTGTGCTCTCGGTCTGGCAGAGCCGCACTGCCCACAAGTCACATCCCACGGGTACCTGAAACTGCCAAAGCCACGGCTCTGCTGTAGAGTCTGTGCAAACATCTCGCATTTCCTGATGGCGTTGAGCGGCGAGCAAAGCGCATGGCCTCCTCAAAGTGATCCCTGCGGATCTCGGGAACTGGATCGTCCTCCTCCACTTCCTGCAGAGCGGGACAGAGGGCCCAGGTGAGCTGCATGCCCAAACTCTGTGTGCCTGACAGCCACCCACAGCCTCCTTCCAGATCAGGATGCTCCATCACCCACCAAGGTGGGGGCTGGAGAGGTACACATGAGTCAGGGTTGCAGGAGGTGCCTTCTGAGCAATGCTGACCGTGAGACACCCTAGGAGGGTCCTCAACCTCCCACGAGTTGAGAACAAAGTGCTCCAGCTCTGTGCTCTGCAGAGGAGCCCACTCATCCCTGAGGATGACAGAGGAACACATGACACCTCGCACACGTTCAGCAGCTCAGTGCCCCACTCGCCATGGCGGAAGGGTTGGTCTGCCTCTCGCGCTCTCGCCTGATCTCGCTTTCGATGGACTCGCGGATTGCCAGTTTGCAGGCACGCTGGCAAATCTCTGTGAGGTCAGCCCCCGAAAAGCCATTGGTCATCTTAGCCAGGAAATCCAGATCGACATCCTAGTGAAAAACACAAAAGCAAGAGAGGCCTTTCCTTAACACCTCATCCTCAGGTGACAGAGGTGGTCTTCAGGTCCTATAGTATCAAGGCACTGCCTTAACTGTGGCCAGTTTTGGGAAGATCAGCTGTTGAGATTCTTGGTTTTGGAAAAAGTTAAGCACAGGTGAAAGCAGGTCACACTCCCCCCAAACCCACCACAAATCCACAAAGTGGCTGTAAATGCCTCTGCACTTGCAGATTTAGGATATGATTTGCTCAGGTATCAGCATGAGGAGTCAAATGAAACACTGCCAGACGGGAAATGGAGATGGGGCACAGGCAGGCCAAGACAACCAACCTTCTCCTCCTCCCCCTCAACTGAGTGGGTAGTACTGCAACCTCCTTTGAAATTTTCCTTCCCAACAGCACCTAAAAAGGTAAGTTTGGCACAAAAAGGCTTGAGCTCTCGCTTAATGTCTGCTTTGCTCTAACTCTCAAGCTGCATTATTGCCTGTCCTTAGGCAAGAGACACAGCTCTTGCCTATGACAGGGTTCAGCATCAACCCACTGCAATGATTCCTCTTCAATTTGAATTTCCCACCCCTGGGTTCTATATACACTTTTTCTCAAGAGTACGAGACTTTTCCATCTCATCGTAACAGGCTTTTCTGATCTGCACTGTGTGCAGGACTCCACTAAGTGACCTAGCTCTGCTGATTCCTAGCCTCAGAGCTCAAGCTTTCTCTCCCACCCTATCACACAGATCAGCTTCCAGCCCTTCGTGCTGTTCCCAGCCTGTGAGGAACATGAGCAGCACACAGCAAACCCAAACCAGATGCAGTCAGAGCACAGATCCTACCTTGGCAACTGGTGATTTCCTCAGGTTGGCCTTGAGAATTGCAACACGTGACTTCTCATCAGGCAGGGGGATGTAGATGAGCTGATCCAGGCGG